CCTTGAGTGAAATAAACAAGACAGGAAAGCAGTATAAGGCTGAGGAGGGAAAGCTAGGGCCAATGAAAATTGTCTCTATTGGGCCGGCCTGTGGCTCACTCGGGAGAGTGCGGTGCTGATAACACCAAGGCCACGGGTTCGGATCCCATATAGGGATGGCCGGTTGCTCACTGGGTGAGCGTGGTGCTGACAACACCAAGTCAAGGGTTAAGATCCCCTTACCGGTCATCTTTTAAAAAAAAAAGAAAAAGAAAATTGTCTCTATTGGGCCGGCCGGTGGCTCACTCGGGAGAGTGCGGTGCTGATAACAGCAAGGCCACGGGTTCGGATCCCATATAGGGATGGCCGGTTGCTCACTGGGTGAGCGTGGTGCTGACAACACCAAGTCAAGGGTTAAGATCCCCTTACCGGTCATCTTTTAAAAAAAAAAGAAAAAGAAAATTGTCTCTATTTTTAAGTTATAATTCAATTGTCCCTTGGGATCCATGGGGGATTGATTCTGTATTCAGCCCAGTATTCAGCCCATGAATACTGTATATCTGATCCATGGTTGGTTGAACCCGCAGATACAGAGGGCCAACTGTAGTATGAACAATCAGAGCTGAAAAATAAGAATCACGGAAGTGGGTAGCAGTTAACCACTATTTGCAAATGAGTGGATTCAGTGAGAGAGAGGGAAAACCATGGGTGAACAGGAGGGAAGACTAAGTGAAGAACAGGGAAATTGGTGTTTAAGGAAGAAAATGGAAAAGGGGGAAAAGATGATCTCAGATTTGGTTGAGGGACATAGCTAGCTTCAGTTGGAATGCTGCTCTGTTATGAGGATTAGTGTTCTGGGAGATCAAATATTAGCCATTTGGGCATGCTTTCGCGACATCGTGCAAAGAATATATGTTCCCATATATTTAGGAAAAGTTTATCTGCTTTTTAGGGATGCTAATGACCAAGATGACAGTGGACATTCTCAGAAAATACAGAAGATTGATTTTGACTTTGTAATGTAATTTCTCTCAGTTCCTGCGACCTAAAGTACACAGAAGGAGTGCAGTCCCTCAACTGGACTAAAATCATGAAGACCATTGTTGATGACCCTGAGGGTTTCTTTGAACAAGGTGGCTGGTCTTTCCTTGAGCCTGAGGGTGAGGTGCGTGAGTGTGCGGTTTCTTTTCTGGTACAGTTTTGCCCTATGTCATTTGGGCAGTTAGGAGAATGGCATGAGCAGCACATAAGGGACAAGACCAACTGAGAGAAGCTCCGAACACAACCTGGTATTATTGTTTCTCCAGATTAGTTTTACAGGTAAATGATAAGTTGTTTGGGCATCAGTGGCCACTGACAATATTTCTTTGAAATTACAAAAACTGCTTTTCAAAGAGTTTCTTAGTTTCTTAGTCATGCATTGCTTAACAACAGGGATACATTCTGAGAAATGCAATATCTTTGTTGTATGAACATCATAAAATGTACTTACACAAACAGAGGTGGTATAGCCTACCACCAGTCACTCGACATGGCCTCTTACTGGCAACATTAGCCGTGGATTTTGTACACTTTATGATAGGCCATGATGAACAAAACAACATGAGATTAAATCAAGCACAAGAGAAAATGATGTAATCAAGGGACATAGTAAACACCAGATATATGGGACTTCTGCCACATAACATAGCAAACTGTTTTATAGTTCATTTTTTTTAATATAAGTAAAAGGAGTATACTAAAAAATAACAACAAAAATATAGTGAAGTAAATACATAAACCAGTAACATAGTTGTTTATATTCATTATCAAGTATTGATACATACAGTACTGTACATACAGTAATTGTGCTATACTTTATACAACTGGCAGGGCAGTCATAAAACCAGCATCACCACAAACACATTAGTAATGCATTGTGCTACAGTGTCATGACAACTACAGTGTTCCTAGGCAATAGGAATTTTTCAGCTTCATTATAACCTTATGGGACCACTGTTATATATGTGAAATATTATGTGCTACATGACTGTATTTGGAAAAAAATCCTTGAGAGCATTTCGCAAAAATTACTCTCTAAAAAAATGGTTCTTCCATCTCTGCATAATCCATTATTAAAAGAGTCTGTCTATCACTAATCTCCCTGGGTTAAGGAATTATGAAGTGAATTTTCCAGAAATACGAATTAGATGTTTAAGGTAGCTAATAATTGCACTTTACTAGCAATCTTAGACAAGTCATGTTGTCTTGCAGTCACTCAGGTTTTTTGTTTTTGTATTTATTTTCCATGTAAAGTGCTGGTATACTAAGTGGGTTGAATTCATTCATTAAGTTAATAAGGTGAATATAAAAAAAAAATAGTATTGTGCTCTTTCTGCCTCACCAGGGGAGTGATGCTGAGGAAGGGGATTCAGAGTCTGAAATTGAAGATGAGACTTTTAATCCTTCAGAGGATGACTATGAAGAGGAAGAGGAGGACAGTGATGAAGATTATTCATCAGAAGCTGAAGAATCAGGTTAGTCTTTATAAGGAAGTTTGTTATGGCTTCCTCATGTCATGTCTAGGAACTACTTTTTTAGAAAGGAATAATTCTGTCATTTCATTCCATTCCTGCATGATGACTAATACTTAATTTAATTTCAGACTATTCCAAGGAATCATTGGGCAGTGAAGAAGAGAGTGGAAAGGATTGGGATGAACTAGAAGAAGAAGCTCGAAAAGGTTTAAAAAAACTGTTTTTGTTTTTGTTTATTTATTCATTTCACACAAATTTCTAACACATTTCAGTACTAGTAGCCCAATGAGAGTAAGAGAGCTATTTGTGATTTGGAGCCACAGTTACAACTTCATTGACCAAAGGAGAAAATGAGGTTCAAGTAGGCATGATTCTGCTTAATTGGATGCTTTTTTCATTTGCTCAAGCCCCTAGTGTGCCCATAGCCATGATAACCACATAGTCATGTAAGGCTCCAGAATTTGAGTATTCAGTTTCAAACCCGAGACCTCTAATGGTCTAACTAACTTTCTGGGCCTTTTCCAGGTTGGGGATATCTTTATAGTGCTAATCTAGTTACTCTGAAACCACACCCCAAATATAAGGTAAAGGTGAAAAGGAAGTATTAGAGGTTGGCCAGTTAGCTCAGTTGATTAGGTCATGGTGGTGAGAACACCAAGGTCGAAGGTTCGATTCCCTGTACCAGCCAGCTGCCAAAAAAAAAAAGGAAATATTATCTACTGTATCCTAAGCATTATAATAGATGCTTAGTGTGGGTTACATTATTTAATTCTCAAATAATTCTTCCTTTTATAAATAATTCTTCCTTTTATAAATAAGTTACAAATTTGACCAGAACTCAGAAAGTTTAAGTACTTGCCAAGGATTACACAACTAGTAAGTTACTAAGTAAAGATTAAAACTCAGGTCTGACTTCAAAATATATTAATGCTATTCCAATAGTATTAGCTACCTAAAGCTAACTTATAACTAATAATGCCTCTTTCTTCTATTTAGCGGACCGTGAAAGTCGTTATGAGGAAGAAGAGGAACAGAGTCGAAGTATGAGCCGGAAGAGGAAGGCATCTGTACACAGTTCAGGCCGTGGCTCTAACCGTGGTTCCAGACACAGCTCTGCACCCCCCAAGAAAAAGAGGAAGTAACTTCTGAACTTTGTCCCCAAGCTCCATTCTTCCTCCAGCCAACCCCTGAAAATTTTACATAACATAGAAACTGTATTTTTCTTTTTGTTTTCTTTTGAAGTTTTGCCATTTGTGTTTATGGGTTTAGGGGGCCATTTGTGTGGACCAATCTACTCGGGGAATTCCAGGCCCACCAGGACATGTGCCAATGGCCCCATTCAGATGGCAAGGGAGGAGGTGTTCTTGAAGAAGGGCAGAGGCTCCCGGTGTTAATAAATATCGTTTTATTCTTCTCTTCCTGCCACCTTCTGCCAGGACATTGATGGCTTTTGACATCTTATTATTTGGTGTCTCAGAGATATATTTTCAAGACGGTGGTACAGGGTTGCCCTTACATACCCGTACCATGGTTCTTGACCATCAGATTCAATCCTTCATTCTACCGTACTGCCATGACCTTCCTCACGTCTCTTAAGTTCCATCTTTGCAATACTCAAGAATCTGGGAATTTGCTAATATTTGTGATAAACCATACAGTATGAGCTAGTGAGACAGATTGGGCTGATGCCTTTGTCTGGGTTTTCCTGCTTTCATACCTCATCCAGATTCTGAGGTATTTCTGCTGCCTTGGAAGACATAAGAAGCACTGACACTCCCTGGCTTGGTTATTTCTTCTTATAAATTCACACATGGTACAATAATAGAAGGCAAAATTACCACTGTCTCCTTTTTTTAATGGTATGTCTAAGGAAGAATGATTGTGCCTCATATATGGCTTCTAATGAAATCTAGAGGGAGGCTCAGAGGAGTCAACATTTAGATCTGGAAGGGGCAAGGTATGCCTTGGGCCTAGAATACCCTGACAAGAAAAGAGAAGAGGAAGGGAGGCTATATCTACAACACAGCCTCTCGTCACTGCTGCTCCTTATTTTTACTTGTCTTGCATTGTCCTGTATTTATCACAGTTTCTGTTGAACAGCTTTTTAAATATTTGGGGAGTTTATCTTGCCATCCTCCCCTCCTGGTTCTCTGCACCCACTTGTCCCACTGCAGTTCCTTTCATGTTCTGTGACTTTAAGAGAAGAAGGGGGGGAGGGGTCTTGGATTTTATGTTTGTTTGTTTTTTCTCCTTAGCAGTAGGACTTGATATTTTGAATTTTGGAAGAACTAAAAGATAAATAAACTGGTTTTTTTTTTGTTGTTGTTGTTGTTTTTGTAAATTCACTTTTTGTGACCATTCTTTTGCAGTTCCTGAAAGCAAGCCTGCTTCTTGCATAGTAAAGCACTAAGGTGTTAGAAATGCCTTTTTCCAGGTAGTATAACACAAACTTTCATCATAAGGTTGAGAGATACTAAACATCACAGTAAACCAGATTGATGGTATAGCAAGTTACTTTATAGGAGACTTTTTACTATGGTTCCCTCACACATTTTAGAATGGAATAGCACTTGTTCCTTCATGATAACACATCTTCAGTCATCTCCTTGTAAATAGCATGGAGGGCAGCAGCTGCCTGAAGGGAAACCTTCAACCTTCCTATTGGGGTAGCCTGGTCTTCAGGGTTAACAACTGTTGGGAAAGGGGGAAAAAAGTCAGGCAGCAGTATCATTCAGTTAAACACATTAATACCTGGTATTTATCATGTTAGGTGCTGGGACAGTAAATGAACGAAGGCACTACCCCATTTCATGAGAGGACTCAGTCTAATGGAGGAAAAAGGAAGAGTCCTTATAGCATGTAGGTGCTGTAATAAGTGAAAGCTCAAGGTATTTGTGAGACATGTAGAAAGGGCATGTAAATCAGAATGGAGAAATTGGAAAAGGATTTCTGAAGACAATTCATGAGCTAAGTCAAAAAAGTATGACATTCTAAGCATGTGCCAAGACATGGCAACATGATGACTTTGGAAAACTGCAAGGAGTGGCAGAAATGAGGCTGCACAGATAAGAACCAAAGCATGAAGGTCTTTGTCTTCTAATTTGGTTTTACCTGAAGGTTAAAAAAGTGAAGTTAACCAAAGGTTAAAAAATTGAAGGTATTAGAAGATGACTCCATTATTTAGAGAATATATTCATTTTTTTTTTTTTTAAAGATGACTGGTAAGGGGATCTTAACCCTTGACTTGGTGTTGTCAGCACCACACTCAGCCAGTGAGCGAACCGGCCATCCCTATATGGGATCCGAACCCGGGGCCTTGGTGTTATCAGCACCACACTCTCCCGAGTGAGCCACGGGCTGGCCTAGAGAATATATTCAAAAGGAGTATAAGTGGACCAGGCAGAGTATCTACGAGGCTACTGCAGTAATTTGGGGACCAAAGGAGGGTGGGGATAAAGAGGGTCTGAGTATAATGGGGAGCGGGGAGGGTGTGCGCCAATTCAAAATACATAAGAGGTAGGGATGACCAGTTAGCTCACTTGCTTACAGCCTGGTGCTAACACCAAGGTGAAGGATGCAGATCACCTTACTGCCAGCTGCTAAAAAAAGAAAAAATGTTTTTGTTTTTGTCTTTTTTAAGGTGAATTTAACAGACTTGTGATAGAACGTGGGGAGTGAGAAAAAAGTTGGAATCAAGAATGACCATTCTAATTTGGATAACGGAATGGATTGTGGGTAAGGGAAAATAAGGTACAAGACTGTAGTCAAAGGAGTTTCGGTACCAAGGGAATATACAAGATACAAGCAGTGACATCTATTAGTCTGGTGTAAGTCTAGATTGTATTAAAAATCTAGGCTAGGAAAAAAAAAAATCTAGGCTAAGTGTAAATTTGAGATAATTTCTAGGCTATAATTAAAACCCTGAGAGTAGATGCAATCACCCAGGGAGAGAGTACATGGAGGAAAAAAATGACTAAGGATTGAACCAGGAGAACCCAACATTTAAAAGAACAGACCAAGGAAGAATAACATGCAAAGGAAACAAGGACCAACCATAGAGTGATAGGGAGTCAAAATGTCCCCAAAACAGGGAGAACAGAGTTTAAAAAGGGAGAATGAGCAGTAAAAAGTTTTAGAAAGGTCACATAAATGAGTAATAAAACCAACTGGATATGGCAATTAAAACTGGTAAGAACAGATTGAGTAAAGTACATGGAATGGAAACTTGACCTTAATGGAAGAGCATATAGGAGGTGCAGAAATAGAAACAGTATTGTGGACTGACTGATCATTCACATATTTCAATGAGCAGAGTTTTGAAGTGATAAGAGATAGCTATAGGGCTAGAAAACCGTTTTGTATTTAAAATCAGAGACCAACATATTTAAAGCCTGAGTAGAAGGGAGGCCATAATGAGGAAATTACTATAAACTTTTCTTTCGATAATTAAAAAATTGAAATAAAAATTGAGAAGCTTTCATTGGCTTTAGGGATTTTCCTTACGTACAAAGGGCATGGAGGTCAGGAAGAGCATGGCATGTTTAGGGATGGGGACAGGAACAGAAATTGGGAGTGAGAGTTGGAAAATAGCTAACACAGAGATGGCACTTGCCATGTGCCAAGCACTGTCCTAAGCCTTTTATTTAATTCTCTCTTCATCCTTCACTTAAGCACTCCCTTAATCTTCACAACAACCCTATTAGATAGGTACTGCTATTATCCCCAGAATAGTTTTTAGTTGAGGAAAACAGGCACAGCAAAGTTAAATAACTTGGTCAAGATCACAGCTGGAAAGACACTAGAGCAATATAATAAAAATCTTGCCTACCAGCTAAAGTTTGAACTTCGCAACCCCTGGTCTGAGGACTACTTCCTTTAAAAAATTTTTATTACAATCGGAAAGAACAATTTCATATGATGATTCAGTAAGCATACATAAAATTAGTTTCATAAAACAATATGTGCGATGTACTCTGATACTTTCTTTTCTACAATTTTAGTTTGCTTTTTTCAAATTCTGGTTGTGACTTGCTAATTTAATTTCACCATCCACTAATGGGTTGTAACTGGAAGTTTGAAAAACAATGGTCTAGTGGACAATCTTAAGTGCCTAATAGAGCCCAGCACATAAAGTAGGTGAGGCCCCAGGTATGTATGGTAATAGTGAAAACTGGACAAAGTAGGCCCATCTAAAGGCATTCAAATGCAAATATTTTTAAAATATGCTGGTCTATGGCAAGGAGTTTGTAAAAGGAAGAATGCAGTGATCAAATTTATTACGTAGAAACATTTCCTGTAGTAGATGGGAACAGGATGGAAGAAACCAGTGGTAGGGAGACCCATTTAGAAAGCATTTACAGGTGCTGGCCGGTTAGCTAAATTGGTTAAAGTGCAGCCTTATAATCCCAAAGTCATGGGTTCGGATCCCCATACTGGCCAGCCACCAAAAAAAAAAACAAACATCTACAGTAGTGGTAGTCAACACTCAAGTAGAATGGATAAGACTTGGTAACCAAAGGATGTGAGGGAAGAACAGAGTTGGTACATATATGAGACCGGGTGCATGATAACACACTAACAGAGAAGGGGTCTTAGCTGCCTTTACAAACTTTATATATTTAAATTTTATTGAAATTAGGGCTGGCTGGTTAGCTCGCTTGGGAAAATATGGTGCTGATATCATCAAGGTCAATGGTTCAGATCCCCATACCAACCAGCCATAAAAAATAAAATAAATTTTATTGAAATTAAAATAACTTGTCTTTTTACAAATTCCTTGTCTCAAAGATTGGTAATTCAAAATAGATTCTAGTTGCAAAGAGGTATGTGGAGCTAAAATATATAAGTGATTACTTTTATATTTGATCCAGAAATAAATATAGCTGTAGAGATGAGATTTTAATCCAGTTTGTGTCTCATCAACTTCACAGTGATAATTATGTATGGAAGGTAAAACAGAAAAAGTATTCATTATTAGGATGATTTCCTTAGAAACAAACGGAACTGAGAAGCACAAAAAATTTACTACTCACCATCTAGCTCTTGCTCTAGAATGTCTCTTCCTGATTCCAGGATCTGCCGCAGTTCAAGATATGCATGTCCTACTTCTTGACATTCTTTTTTTTCTTCATCCAAAGGATCACTTACCACTGTAAACTTTAAACTAAAAGGAAAAAGAAATCCATATAACTCTGCGCTGATGATACCCTTACACTTTAAAGATAAAATAAGGGGGCCAGCCCGTGCCTCACTTGAGAGAGTGTGGTGCTGATAACACCAAGGCCGTGGGTTCGGACCTGGGAGAGCATGGTGTTGGCAACACCAAGCCAAGGGTTAAGATCCCCTTACCAGTCATCTTTTAAAAAAATAAAATAAAATAAAAATAAGGATAAATGTAGTCATATTCGGATCCCCATACCAGCCAGCCACCAAATATAATAATAATAATAATAGTGTCTTCCCTGAATCACCTTTCCCTTGCTTACAGTGTATAAGACAGCAGCAAAGTGAGTAATCAATATAATTTAATTTAAGTAGCAACAGGCCTTTAGAAGGGGGAACTAAGACTCTTGAGATAATGTGGTTGATAAAATTGTCTCAAAACTGTCAAGATATAATTCCTAGTAAGATGGTTTACAATTTTTTTTTTTTTTGGTGGCTGGCCAGTCCAGGGATCAAACCCTGTACCTTGGTGTTACCAGCACTAAGCACTAACCAACTGAGCTAACCAACCAGCCCTGGATGATTGCAATTTTGTTGAAAGATTTGATATGGGCAGTGAAGGTATTACTCAAAATACCCAGGATTATGAAAGTTAGAAGAAGAGGATTTAAATTTCTTTTTCTTTTTGTGGGGGGAAGGGGCGGGGGTGCTGCTGGACAATAATAGGGATTGACCCTAAATTTCTAAATAAAAGTTGGGTGTCAAGTATAAGCAGAGTAAAGGAAACAGAAGGAATGCATAATTGCAAAATGAGTATAAAAAGTGTATTCCTCAGAGTTGTGAGTCTTGAAAGATGACCCTGTAAAGCATGTAGCACAGTGCCTGAAAGCAGTGAGCAGTCAATAACAATTAGTATTATTTTGACTTAGCCTAGCAAATAATATTGAATTCCAGAGACTGGTACAGTTTATAACAATCCTATTCAATTTTTTTTTTTTAGATAAAACTAACATAACATAAAATTCACTAATTAACCATTTTAAATTATATAATTTAGTGTTTTTTAGTATAATCACGTTATGCAACCATCACCACTAAGCCCAGAACATTTTCATTACCACCTGACCCCCACAAAAAACCCTCCACCGATGAAGCAGTCACTCCCTGTTCTCCTTTCCCCCAGCTCCTGGCAAACACTAATTTTACTTTCTCTCTCTCTGGATTTGCCTCTTCTGGACATTCCATGTTTCTATTAATTTTTTAAAAGCAAATATTGGAGGCTAATAGAGTGCTAAGGGAGCAGGAATATGACTAAAAATTCAAGCCCTTAAAAGCACAGCTAAACATGATTAAACTAAAAAGAGGAATTACTGAAAAGGATACATTCTCAGCCCATTAAGCAATATTCGTGTGTGGTTATGTTTATGTATCATTACTGAGAACTTCAACAATGCAAAGGAATAATGCTGACTCTCCCATCCCAATTTTCCTAGGAAAAGGACAGTAACTAGCATTACCAAGTCCCAGGGACAATACCAAGTGCTTTATGTAAACTATGTTATCTCAATTTTATTCTTACAAGAGCATTCAAGTTAAGTAATATTGCAAAGACCATAGAACTAGTAAGTGGAAGAGTCAGGTTTCAAAACCAGGTCTGCCTGTGCCGGCCCGTGGCTCACTCGGGAGAGTGCGGTGCTGATAACACCTAAGGCCCCGGGTTCGGATCCCATATAGGGATGGCCGGTTAGCTCGCTGGGTGAGCGTGGTACTGACAACACCAAGTCAAGGGTTAAGATCCCCTTACCGGTCATCTTTTAAAAAAAAAAAAAAACTGACAAAACCAGGTCTGCCTGATTACAAAGCCAGTGTTCTTTCTGCTATACCATACTGGCAAAAAGAATGTCATTGGTAAAATCACTCAGAATCTAAAATTGAGTAGAATAAGATTGCCACTGTAAAGGAATAAAGGAAGAGAGAGTTCTAAGAATGCTAGGGGGGAAAAAAGGTAAAAGGTAAATTTAACATTAGCACAGAAAGGAAAGGACCAAATCACTTTTCATTTCCAAAAGTTAAAACTTGTTCGAACCCACAGTGATATTGAAGTCAGAGTCACTGGTTATTTCAGCTGGCTTCTTTTTCAGTCCTTTCTATGACTAACTGGATTAAACAAATTTAGTGAGCCTTTAGAAAAGTAATAGATTAAAACACTAGCCCCATACCATTTCTTACCCACACACACTCTGCAGAGGTAGAGTTGCCAGATTTCAAAAGCAAAAACGTGTGCCCATTTAAATTTGAATTTCAGTTAAACAACAAATAATTTCTTTAGTGTAATTATGTCTCATGCATTTTATATGGAGACTCTAAAAGGAGGTCCTGAATTACAGGAATAATGACAATTGGCTTTCCTAAAATTTTAAAGGAGGTCTAGACTTTACTTTGTTATATCAAAATCAAAATATTCCTGTAAACAAACAATTTAAAAATCCAAATATATAAAACACAAATATAAAAAAATCCAAATAAAAAATCGATATCATAAAGGCATAATATTCGTTATGCTAGCTATAGTACTCCATGTGTGAGAAATCAATCAAATCATCTTAGAATGTCAAAATGTTTTGTCCATTCCACATAGGGCACTGTCAGTATTCAAGTAAATTGCTGCCACAAAAAAAGAGCCCACCAGGGGCTGGCACAGGTGAGAAATGAAATAAACCTATAAGATTATATAATTGATTAAGTAATCACAAACATAAATTAGACTCAAATAGATGGGAAATTCATTAAGAGTAAATTGATTCAAAAGAAGTTGCTAAAATATTCAGCATCAGCACAAAAACAAACAAACTCAAACTTTCGAATTCCTGTCTGAATATCTGCTGTCTTTCAAAGTGAAAAGTGGATGCTTACTGTCCCTGCTCAGGATCTTGTCTGTTCAGCATGGCGAACAGAAATTGCCTTCGGCCTTGTTGCACCAGTGGGTCCAGGTCTATCACTGTATTAAGAGTAAAAGGAAAAATTAAAAAAAATCATACATTGTAGCTCTTTGGGCACTAAGACTTTCATAAGTGATATATATACATGAAACGGCTATAGAAAGCAGAGGTTGGCAAACTAGGGCCTATGGGCTGGCTACCTGTTTTTGTAAATAAAGTTTTATTGAACACAGCCACACCCATTTGTTTACATATTGTCTATGACTGCTTTCAAACTAATGGCAGGATCGAATAGTTGTGACAGTGACTGTATGGTCCACAAAGCCTAAACTATTTACCATCTGGCCCTTTAGAAGAAAATTTGTCAGTCCTTGATTTAAAGGAGGCATTATAATCTGCACTGAAAGATGTTGTGCTACATGCCAGAATAAATGTGCTTCTGCCACTCCACAGCTGGAAGAATTCTGGGGGACTGATTCTTTAAGGCCACCTGGAAGTTTGGGTTTTGTGGTAGGTTCAACTCAAGGCACCTATCTCAACATCGGTTCTTCCTTTCCTCCTCATTTTTACATGGGAATGTTGCAACCTCAAATAAATTAGCCTGCATTTTCCAGTCTCTGTTTTAGCTAAATATGGCCATGTGATTATATTCTGTCCATTGTGTTGTGTGAAACTTTTGTGAAGGCTGCTTAAAAGGTTCAGCTGAGGGCTGGCCAGTTGGCACTGTTGGTTAGCATGTAGTATGGTAGCACCAAAGTCAGAGGTTCTGATCCCCATACCAGCCAGCTGCAAAGAAGAGGAAAAATCGAAAGGCTCAGCTGGGAGGCATTCTTTCTTTTTTCCAGCAGCCATTAAGGACCTTGGGGTAACCAAGAAGATGGATGGCAGGCACTAGGATGATTGGGAAGGCAAGATAGCTGTTTGGATCCCTCAGCCCTGGATTGCCCACCCCTGAGCTTATTTTATACACGTGAGAAATAAACTTCTATATTTTGTGATATAAAGACAGAATATACTTTAAAAAAAGAGAGAGAGAGAACAAGAAAAAGCTCTTAGAAATTAAAAATATTCAGTCAATGACTGGGAAATAAAATTAAGGAAATTTCCTAAAAAGCATAAAGAAAAAAACAGAGGTAGAATTATAGAAGGAAAATGATTTTTAAAAAAATTAGAGGACCAATTTGGAAGATCCAACATTCTGCTAAGAAAATAAGAAAATGTGGGGGGCAGAATTATTACATGGAATAGAATAAAATTTCCTGGAACTAAAAGCCAACAGCTTCGAGATTGAAAAAGCCCACTGAATGGCCAGAAGAATTTAAAAAAAAAAAAAAAAAAGCACATTATTCTGAAATTTGAGAACACTAGAGATAAAGAGAGAATGTTAAAATCTTCTTGAGAGGTAGGGGGGTATTTTTCATTAAAAGGTTAGATTCCTTTGCCTGGATCTAGATAACCATGAACCAACTGCTTTGAAATTTTTAATGAAAATGTTTTCAACATAGATTTCTCTACTTGGCCTAATTATCAATCAAGTATGACAGTAGAGAAAAGAGATTTCATGCATGACTTTCTCAAAATCTTTACTTCCAATATACCTTTCTTTAAAGGCTATTGGGAAAAAAAAAAAGCTGCTGGAAAATATGAAAATAAGAAACTATATCAGGGCTGGCCGGTTAGCTCAGCTGGTTAGAGTGCTGCCTTATAACACCAAGGTCGCCAGTCAGATCTCCTTACTGGCCAGCCACCCCAAAACAACCACAACAAAACAAAAAAGAAACTAAATCAGACAGAGGATGACACAGGACCCAGGAGACAGGAAAGCCAGTATAGCAGAGAACTGGATTAGGTTCTCTGGAGAGCAGCAGTCTTAATAGCTGAACAGTGGGTTAGAGAGAAGCAAGGGGATAGAGAAAGGCCTTCAGGAAAAAAGTGGATGAATGGATCAATTATTCAACTGGTTTGATTATCTGAAAACAAAAATTATTATTATTATTTTTTGCAGCTGGCCAATTATTGAAAAATTGAAAAGGCTATGGGAGGATGTGAAAAGAATTATGACATAATGAAAATAAAGCAAATGAAAAATTGAAGCAAATGAAACAATAAGCAAGAGAGGAAATATAATCATGGTAATCTACTTGATTAATTAATATTTACATATCCATAACAACAGAAACTTAAAATTGATTTAAATTAATATTATGATACAACTATATGAGAGGGAAGGGATATGGTATAGTGTAAAAGAGCTAAATTTTATGGCTTAAGATAGGAAGTCAGCAGAAAATGTCTAAAATTGGTGAATTATGAAATTGTAATGGAGGTAAATAACAAGAAAAAGATGAAAAAGTTCAAAGTGGTCGTGGTGGGGATGAGGGTGGGAGGGTAACTTGTGGAGGAGTGGAGTAAAGGACTGCTTAATTTTAATTAAAATCTTTTTAGGCCTATATGATATTTTTAAACTATATGCATGTACTACTTTGATAAAAAATAAAATAATAAAATGGTTTGAGCCACCCCATCAGAAATCCAGAGTAGTCCTGACCCTCAGTCTAAATGCTTGTCAGCCTCCTCTCCCAGCTGACCACACAGGGCACCTCACCTTTGCTGAAGTGGAAGTGTATTTCTTCCCCTGCCCTTGGTTTCCTCAGGGATATCGGAGTCTCTGTCTCCCACAAGGGTAAATCGTAGAATTGGTACTCCACGTACACCTGTTGTATGTTCTCATCAGACATCACTTCAGCCTCTGGGTAGAAGGCCAGGGAGACAACCTCAATGCACATCTTCTCTGAATCCTGATAAGGAAAATACTTATTTATTTCCTTGAGGTTGGTGAGGCTGCACGTGTTCATACTCCATCCAATTCACACATTACTCTCTAGGCATACTCCATCTAATATTACTCCCTGAGGATCAATTTATAGGTAAAACTGGCATCAAGAGAGAGCTTGACTGAATTGCCACAGCTAATGTGTGGGAAATTTGTAAAGAGAATCTAGTTGCTCTCTCTCCCAGCCCGATGACTCATTTCTCCAGGCCTTTCTCAGCCATCTTCACATACAGAAAGAATCAAGAAAATTTCTGGTGAATAGCTTTTTTTCAGCTTTCTCAGTGAAAACCAATCCAGCATTTTCCTGAGGTCAGGACCTAAAGGCCTGCTGATTGATACTGGAGATTTGGTAGCTGCTTCAGTCACCATAACAAAGAGCTGCCCAATGCTTCCTGTGCCCGCGTAAGAGCATGGCACAAAGGAGGCCACCAGACCACCCCGTCCTCCCACAGTAACTCCAGTACTTCCAACTTCACCTCAGAGCACACCACCACTTTGCTCTCTTGTGATTGTCCCTGTGTCTCCCTTGGCATTAGGGGTACGTCTCTAGTTTCCAGAAGTAGACCAAGGCCAACATAAGTCCCCTCCTTCCACAGTGTGGCAGCAAGTCAATGTCATGACACTAGGACTGAATCGGTCCAGAAGGCTGTCCCACCAGCCATAGGTCTCTCATCTGTGAGTGCTGCTTCTTTCCTTTAGGTCACCAGGCCAATGCCCTTACTTCTCCAAAGATCTGCCCCCGCCGCACCTTTTCTTCTCTTAAGAAGCAAGTGGAGTTCCTGTGCCTTTTCTGAGGAAACTCGACAGGCAAAATCCCTAAGCAATTGTGTGTCAGAATCACCCGGAAATGCTTCTCAACAATGAAGGTAGTTCGTGTTTTCCTTTCAATAATCCCCATACCACCTTCCCACAACACCTATCAAGCAAACCATTGACTCTATACAGTGTTTTCCCAAATGTGGGTTTTGACACTTTGAAGCCCATCACTAGTATTTTTTAAAAAGGAAGAATAAGGGCCGGCCCGTGGCTCACTCGGGAGAGTGCGGTGCTGATAACACCAAGGCCCCGGGTTCGGATCCCACATAGGGATGGCCGGTTCGCTCACTGGCTGAGCGTGGTGCTGACAACACCAAGTCAAGGGTTAAGATCCCCTTACCGGTCATCTTAAAAAAAAAAAAAATTAAAAAAACAAAAAGGAAGAATAAAATAGGATAGGATAGAACAGGACAGAACAGAAAAGAATATGAGAGTGCATGGCAAATGGTAAGGGTAAGCCTTGTTTCTTGAAACTTTTGTTTATATATGAATATATTGAGTACAATGTAAAAATGTATTTCTTATAGTAGTTGACATAAAAAAAGTGTAAAAGTGACTTAACATCAGGCTGTCTAGGTTTGCTTCTGAGAATCTGCATTTAACTTTTATTTATTTATTTATTTTTCTGCATCTAACTTTTAAATATTCAGGTATAGTTTACATACAGTAAAATGAATAGACCTTAAGTGTACGGTTTTGACAAATGTATACAATTATGTAATCAAACCCTACTGAAGATATGGAACATTTCTATCATCTCAGAAAGTTTTCTCATTCCACCTGTAATTATTTTTAAGTTGTGAACCTTACACTATAGTTTCAATAAATGTTAATCAGAATTTCTCAAGCTGTGTCTGAGAAATAGGTGTTTTAAAAACGAATATCTCTGGCCACCTCCCCAGGGCCGCGCTGGGGTCCTGAGGCATGAAGCTGGGGGAAGCCGAACCCAGCTGCAACCAGCCACAACCAGGTAAAGAGCACACCAAAAACACCATTTTCACACAGGTAGCCCACCACGGCCACCACAATTGGCACAATTGCTGATGCAAAAGCAGCTAGTCTCTATAGCAACAGTCACAGCCACCGTGCTAATGGCACACAGACTCTCAACTGCATTGACACAAGGAGAGGCATCAGCAGAAACCAAAAAAAGAAAAAAGAAGGGGTCCTCTCTCTTCACAAAGCACACTCCAGAGAAATAGAGGAAGCATCTGATTTATGATAATAGGGGAGGACTTGATCACACCTGTCTCAGTGTTGGACAGATTATATAGGCAACAAACCAACAGAGGAACAGTTAGTCTATCAGATGGAGAGAATAAGCTTATGGTTATTGAAGGAGGAGGGGGAAGGGGGAAGGGAAGAGATTGGATAAGGGGCAAAAAGAATAAGTATGATTTGTAACAATGAATATGCTAAGAAAAAAGAAATGAATGGCTCTGTGATAAAATAAATTTTGGAAAATCAAGATTAACAAAGTTATCAGGTTTCTTTAACTGGACTTAAAGCCTGTCATATGCTAATACGCATTAGGATGCTTTTTAGAGAGTGATAGAAAGGTAGTTTTTTCTAAATGTATTTGACTACACCATCTTTTTTTCCCCCTGGAGCATGGTTGTGTTTAATTTTCTGTAGTATACACTTTGGGAAACACTGGGATCTTGAAAAAAAAAAAAAAGAGAAAGGTGTTCATAGTTGTACAAATACCTGAATAACCCCCAATTCCATCCTACCAAAAAAAGTATTTCATGCTTAATGGGGGTGAACATTTTACATACAGTTAAAAATGAACAACCACCAGATCAGTGGCTTTCAAACTGTAAGACTCAGTATATGTGTATTGGTATACATATGTAAAAAAATCAATGAAATAAGTCTCTAAAACAATTCTTAACCTTACCATGTGTAGTGGATTGAATTATGTTCCCCCAAAACTCAGTGAAGCTTGAATTGTATCCCCCAAGTTTTATGTGTTAGAAACTTAGCCCTCAGTGTGACTGTTAACAGGGTGGGAAATCCTATTATGGTAATTGAAAGGTGGGGTCTTGAAGAGGTGGTTGGATCATAGAACCATGCAGTAGTGAATGGATTTTAAATGGTTGTCAGGGGCGTGGTTCTGAGGAGAGTGAATGAGGAGGTTACTCTTTGCTCTCTCTGCTCTGCAATTTTTGCAATGTGATGCCCTGCTGTCACTGAAGTCATCGCTAAAGATGAGTTCCCCAGACTTCAGACGTCCTAGCCTCTGAAACTGTGAGCAATAAATTTCATTTTCTTATAAATCACTTAGTTCTGTGTATTTTGCTATAAACAACAGAAATGGACTAATACACCATGTATGATGCAAACTGTTATTTTGTATTCTAGTCTCAGTTGTTGTTTTTTTAATACTCGCAGAGGCCCCTTATTTTGATTTTACTACCCGCTAATGGATGACACCCCACAGTTGTAAAACACTGCACCAGAGTTATGCTATGTATCTCTATAGCCATTAGTATTTGCAGTGTGGGTAATCCGAATTGGGATGCACTGTAATTGTAAAATTCAAGCAGGATCTTGAAGACTTTGTATAAAACAAAAAGTAAATTATCACAATAAGTTTCCATATTGATTACATGTTGAAATGATAATACCTTGGACATATTAGGTTAAATAAAATATACTATTAAAATTAATTTTACTGCTTTCTTTTTATACTTTTAATTTAAGTACTAGAAAATTTGTTAACATTTGTTACTCACAATATAATTCTGTTGGACTCTTTCATAGGCTATAAGCTGTTTCTCTAACACAAGTACATTTCTCTCACCCGTTTATTTTCAGCTAGATGCATACCCCTAACTTGTTTTACCTCTCCATGCCACCTAGATGTAAATTTTTCAAAATTACTTTTGACTCCTTTCCTCATAAACACTCTCAGTCCATTACAACTGAGACTACTGGAGAAAAAGTGTTGGTAACACTGTGAGTTACCAACTCTGTGAGGCCACTGTGCTGAGAGTAATTTGGTGATATCCATCGAAATTTCAAGTGCCCATTTCTTTTAAAAACCAGCAATTCCACGTTTAAGAATCTATTTCACAAGAATATTTGCAAAGTACACAAAGATACATATGAGCAAGGTGTTCATTGCAGCATTATTTTTAATATTAGAAGATTGAACACAACCTAAAGGTATGCTAATAGCAAATGGCTGAATAAATTAAAATGCATTTATTCTATAGAGTAGTATGCATCCATTAAAAAGAATTAGTTAGGTCTGCATATACTGACATTGGAAGATGTCCAAGACAGATCGAAGGCGATTTTAAAAGGGGGAGAATGTATAGAATGTTCCTTGCGTATGCACACACATGATATGAGTGTGAACGTAGGTGTTCATTAAGAGGATACAAACCAGGCTGTTAACAGGGATAACCCCTAAGGAATGGGAGTGGGTGTGGGAGGGGACAGAGTGACAGATTAAGTAAATAGGGTCAGAAATCTTTCTTTCCTTTGTACATCTCTCTACATTTTTTAACAAAATATTCACATTACTTTTAATATTGAAACTATATTTATAAATACGTGCATATATTTAAGTATTTATGGATTTATCTATTTTGGTAGTGATCAGTAGCAATGGGTCATGATGAAAGTCATTGTTCTAGGAATAGGACAGCCAGTCATAGGAATAAAGGAATGAACAGTAGTCCCAGGGAGTAAAGACAGAGTAAAACAAGAGGTCAGATTGAAAAAAGAGAAGCAGGAGAAAGGACCTAGAATAAGACATTAGCTCAGGTCTCACACTTATTTATTTGATCTCCTTGCCTTTGACACAAGGGATAGTCATTTCCTTTTTGAATGTCTACTCCCTGGCTTCAGTGGCCTTGCCACTTTCTGTCCTCCTCTCTTCTCTCTGCCCACCTCTTGCTCTCCTCAGTAGACTCCTCTTGATTTGCTTGCCCCTTAGCTGCTGGGGTGCCCTGGGATTCTGACTTTGACTTTCTCATCTCCCTCTCTGTATTTTCCTGAGCAATCTTACCTATTCTCTAGGCACGAAGCTGATGGAACCCAAGCCTCTCTCTCTATCTTAGACATATCCCCAGAGCTCCAGACCTACAGATCCACATGCCCACTCAGCATCCCCACGTGGTTGTCTCATGGGTTCCT